AAAAAAAAAAAAAAAAAATAGTTGGAGATAAGTATAAAAGAATTGCGCGTTAACCGAACGACTATGTCAATAGACGAAGAAAACACCCCTACGTGCTTCGATATGTATCATTCCTTAACTTATTTGATCATCCTTAACGACAGATAAAATGTTGTCAATTTGTTTCCGCACTGATTTTCAATATACTCTCGCGCTGGAACTAAAGTCATTCAGTTTCGGCTCCGACGAAAATGACTGCGCAGACTCTTCGCTTCTCGATACTGGCGGGATGGGAGAGGGAAGTAAAGTGTGAATCGAGAGGACCGATTCCGATTCATGAAAGCGATTGTCAATCGCGAATACGATGATTATCAGAATATGAAAATTCGCTGAAATCCTGCGATGCGCCGATGGATTTCGCTTCCGTGAACACGTAGCCCCCCGATATTTCCGCCGGAGCTTACATCTCGTAACACTATTTGCCGTTCGACGAGAGCAATGGGCTGGCGGCGTTTGAATATCCTTGACTGCAGGTGGGCAACATAAATGGATTCATGTTGAACGGTGAACCAACCACCTCTCCTAGTCCTGTAACATACCCACTGTCGGTTATATATTAGTGTCATTCACTGTAGCTTAAAAGAAAAAAAAAAAAGAAAAAAGTAATAATCGGTGAACTAGCGATCCGAGAAATTATCTTTCTAACTTGTTGATACACGTGTTCCGATTCGCACTTGACCTCGACTTGGAAATTACAAAATCACGAGAAACAGTAATTTATTATTTAATGCCTCTCTAGAATCTGATAAAACGAGACAGAGAGAATGTGCAACTAGGAATTCACAGAAAATGTATTCGTTCGTTCAATTGAAGTTCCCTTATTTATCTTCTTGCAACGAAAACGTAGTCGATTAAAGAAGAGGAAATCGATTAGAACGAGACGAGGATAAGAGGAAGTCTACTTAAAATCATAATAGCAAGTACTTTCTGGAATCACTAGTTCAGGCAGAACGAATGAAATTATAACGACACAGATGTATATAATTGTTTCTAAAACGTTCCAATTTTTACACGTGTGGACAAATAAATTTTTAATGAATACGAGAATAAGGGAAGTATAAGGGGAATGGTCGTAATTTAAATGTAAGGGATATAATACGAGTAATGTGTAGGATAATATTTTTCATGCATATCTTTGTTGAAATTCGTTATTCAATTTCATACTGTAATCGCATCTTACATCTACATCGTAAGAGTTTGTCATTCAATGTCATTTAACGAATACGAGTATTTTCACATCGAAGACTGGTGTACGTTGCAAGATGAAAGACTGTATTTGACACGATTGCAATAATCACATTAACGATCTTATTAGCTAAGTGACGCTAAACGATGTCATAATGATTCATCTACAAGGATATCTCTTCATCACGATAATAATAAAGCTATGTGAAGTAATTTTACTTTATTAGTGTAAAGCACACCTGTCAAACGTAACAGTTTACCTATTCGCAAGAAATAAAATTGTTATCTACTTGTACAGCTTTCTCAATAATTTAAATATTTGAAAAAGTTAAAAGTCCCAAGGAGCTGTTTCAAGTTCACGCAGTTATTCGATATGAAACGCGATTGATTCAAGTGAAAGGAGAAAGAAAAAAAATTGTGAGATGTAACATCGAATTTTATCGAATTCAAGGAGAGGGAGAAGGATTATCAACTATTCGTAAATGAACGTGCGTGTTGTACATACATCCTCGAGTCTTGTCTCTCGTGCATGTTTCTCATAATTCTTTAATCGCAGTGCATAGGGTGGTTGTGGTGGTGATGATGGTGGTTGTGATGGTGGACGGTTAGCGGTTACTGGGCGGCTGTGGCGAGGTGGTGCTGTGTGGACCAGTGCGGTGGGACTGAGGTGGTCGGTGGTCGTACTACGGGGGCGAACGCACTCCCGTCCCCGGACGTATAGAAAATGCCATATTGTTCGTGCGCTAAAACGAAAATTTCACATAAGGGAAAAATCATAAGTGCGTGCGCCAAAACCAACTGTAGTGACAAGCGTATATACGTGCGTCGCTTCAAGTACACACACACACCCACACACACACACACACACACACACACACACACATACGCACAGATTTTTGCATGCTGAATTGCAGGGCGAGACGCATATTTTTACTAATTGCCTCGTACCGTTGACAAAAGTTTCGAAAACTCACGAGCGAAAAGCAGAGAGTCGATAGGAGCGTAACGAGTATGACGAATAAAATTGACGAGATACAAAATGGATATGATCGAAAGAGATGATTACTTACGCGACGTATAAAGTGTTGGACTACCGGTATAAGGATTTGCTACCGAGTAACTTCCGTTCGTGCTGTGACTGTGAGGTGTGCTAGCCGAACTTCCGCAATAACCACCACCGGTCACGACCCCACGTGGACTCGCGCTGCTGCTTTGCCTGTAGGCGTCGGCGCTACCACCGACGCTTCCTCCGACGCTACCACCACCGCCGCCGCCGCCACCTCCGCCTCCAGCACCGGCTCCTGTCGTCACCGAACTACCGTCTAGAAATAGAAACCTGCCCGTCAGACGAACTCGTCAGTATTTCATCATTCTGTTCGCAGCGTCTTGCCTAGTATTACCGGAACGCAGACCAGTTGGAACCGACAGATTTATTTTCAGTTGAATCGCTACGTTGCGCGATATAATAAAACGTCGAGGAAGACGCTGTCTTAGAAAATTGATTCTATCGTGTACTCGGCGAATCGGTTGAACTGGTTTCCTGAGTATCTAGTATCATCTAATACCACATACGTAGATAATAACACAGATGAGTTGCGTGGTTCCCGAGGCACGCGACCGTTGTCATTACATTCATCAAAAATTCCTCTAATTTTGAACGACGTCGTCGACTTCCGGAGGAAACGTCATATTTGTCATAATTAGCGTGATTAGTTCCTCTATACGCAGTACGTAATACTGTGATACTTACCGTCTGTCCACTTCGTCGCGCTACCGTTTTCTTGTACCGTCACTGCCAGTTGCCCCGTATACGAGTTGAACGCTGTTGCCGAACTGGAGGTCGGCGGTGCAGGTGGATGGCCCGATCCCGGACTCCTTGGCGCTCCCGTGATGCCAGCGTTTCCGCTTCTCGGCATACTGTACAAGGCTTCTGCAAGATCCGCTGCCCTTTTCAGTATGATCTCTTTTGGTAATTTCTCGGGATCGCCTGGGTGCCGAGGAATAAGTTTCTGTAATCTTTGGAAGCCGTAGTCGATCGTTGGTTCGTTTAACGCTGAAAAATTTGTAAAATTTCACCTTACTTTTACTTTTACGCATATGATGACCGCGTATAATAGTAAGTGCCGTCACAACACTTAGTTCTTTCTCCAAATCTATTCATAATCGCTTCTAAGTTTTCAAAGAGTCTTTTCAAGAAGGATTTCAGACGGCCAGATTCAGACTGACTGAATGATAATTCCAATTAATGACAAAAGATCGGCGATTCTTGCCTAAATAAAAGATAGTAGCAAGCTGTCATTTATACTCACAAACGTAAACGAATCTACCGGGTGCTCCTTTGCAGAATTGTTTAGTTTTATAGGACAACGTGACCTCGACGACGCCTGGTATCTGCCGTGGTGGAGTTTGTACTCTAATTGCGTTCGGTGTAATTAGCTGGGGGAGAGAAACAAATGAATGCAACTCAAAATAACGCGCGTCACTCACTGCGCGTGTCATTCTTTGCTTTGACGAACCAATTGTTTTTTGCAATTTCGTGCGTTCTATCATCTTCCTCGAAACATGAAAGTTCCATACCTCGCTCCAAACCAGCATCGAGCCGAAAACGACTTGAAGTCCATCGAAGAAATTCTCTCCAATGATTATTACCGTCGATCCGCCGGATGTCCAGCCTTCGTTCGGCGATATCGCCTTTATACACGGCGTTTGAAGAGGTACAGGCGTGTAAAGACCTGATTTTGCAAACACACAATTGTCATTGACTTAACGAACGAGGTTCGAACCTGCCTCAAACTTTGAAATGTCAATAAATCGGAATTCATCGTCTTCTCTTAACAAATA